CACAACAGGAACCAACAAGTCAGCAGACCCTATGAAGACCTCTTGACCACTGTGGAAAAAATGCAAACTGAAGTAGTACGGTCATGTCTCAAGATCATCTGGACTAACAATCTTGCAAGGCATAGTATGAGGGTGCAGAAGAAAAGACAGCCAGGAAAAGAGGTGGAAAGACACCATTAAAGAGTGGTGATGCATGGGGTTCAGAAATTTCCAAAGGGCAGTGGAGAACCGAAATAAACGCATATAATTGGTTGTGAAGTCATCTGTAGTGCCTAAACAACCTAATGGGATTGCTGATGATGATGAAGATATACAAAGTCTTTTTTAAATAGCCAAGATACCAGTGAAGAAATCATGGGAAGTTCTTTTTCTTTGAAAATCTAACCATATGCAAAATATGAAGCTGTAATTAACGTCCTAATTTGAGAGGGAGGCCTTGCTGTACATGAGAAGTGATAGAAGGACAAATTGGACTCAACCAAGACTTACAGCAACCTGACAATTCATGAGGAGTACTACCCTAACATGAGTCACAGTGATGAATAATATACTAACTTAATGTTCTTTCACTTTCTAATGAAAAAAAGTTTTATTTCACAGCAGTTAGGACCACTCTGGTGGCCTAGTGGTAAGAGTGTCCGCATCAGCTGTGGGAGGACGTGGGTTGAATCACCGACTGAGTCATACTAGACTTACAAAACTGGTACTAACAGCTGCCTCACTTTGCACTCAGCATTAAGAGTTTAGTGTTAGGACTGGTTAGTCTGGTGTCAGGATAATATAACTGGGTGGGACACCATGCTACATGTCTGTGGCATGATGCCACAGTGCTAGACATCACCTTAAACTGTCACACTGCCGACAATGTAGAGATATGAATGAAAATTTTGTAATGCTATGTTAAAAATCCAAATCACACACACACACACATCAGTTAGACCTACCTAGTTTACAGCTTAATGAATCGACCACCATAAATGAATCAACCACCACTGATGGGAGGTATTACTGCTATCTCATCGCCCTGGTGAAGGTGCATGCAGCCAGAGTCAGCTGAGATGTACTCCTGATTTAATGATAACAAAATACTCTCAGCAATAACAGTCAAGCTGAAACAGAATCAACAACCAGATTGTAATGATCTTTCCAATTCTTACTAATTTTCTGCTGATATTAAAAATAATAAATTTTTTTAAATAAATCAAAATTAAGATGATTAAAATTAATATTTGCTTAATTTATGTTAACAGTTTGGAGATGATCTTATACAATCATTTAGTGAGTTGAAAAATTTTATGTGCCATTGGTGTATCTTGTATTATTCAACAAGTTTCATAAATCTAATTTCAAATGAACAGTTTATAATTCCATTTATCACATAATGTTAGGACTTTGCATTAGTCCATGATGTATCAATGCGGCATTGCTAAGTATTATACCACAGTGTGATTTTTATGATGTTATCTGATGATGAATATAAGATTATTATACAGTATGTCTAAAAAACATTTAACTCATTAAATATTAAACTCAGGACTGTCAAGTGTAAAATAATATACATAGGCATTCTTAATGCTTTCTGATATAGTCTGACTTGGAAAAAGCAAGATAAAAATTTCAAAGAAAATGTTCACTCGATGACCCTGATACTCTGGACTTCCTGAAAACATTTCAAGAAATTAATAATAATAATAATAATAATAATAATAATAATAATAATAATAATAATAATAATAATAATAATAATAATGATGATGATGATGATTTATTTACTGCTACTACTACAACTAATAATGAAAAATAAGTTGCTATTTAACAAACATTGCCAACAACATTGAATAGGACTACAAAATTCAAGTGATTCATAATTGTACCATGAACAAATTAATATCCAAATATCAAGCTTAGGACAAGCACCTGCTATTTCAAAACAATAAAATTGATACCATGCCTCCCCTACTTCCAATGGAGATGACTATACAGTCATGCCTCCCCTACCCCCAATGGAGATGACTCTACAGTCATGTCTTCCCTACCCCCAATGGAGATGACTCTACAGTCATGCCTTCCCTACCCCCAATGGAGATGACTCTACAGTCATGCCTGCTCTACCCCCAATGAAGATGACTACAGTCATGCCTCCTTTAATCCCCAATGAAGATGACTACAGTCATGCCTCCCCTACCCCAATAAAGATGACTCTACCGTCATCCTTCCCCTACTCCCCAATGGAGATGACTCTACAGTCATGCCTATTCTACTCCCCAATGGAGATGACTCTACAGTCATGTCTTCCCTACCCCCAATGGAGATGACTCTACAGTCATGCCTCCCCTACCCCCAATGGAGATGACTCTACAGTCATCCCTCCCCTACTCCCCAATTGAGATGACTCTACAGTCATGCCTCCTTTACTCCACAATGGAGATGATTCTACAGTCATGCCTTCCCTACTCCCAATGGAGATGACTCTACAGTCATGCCTTCCCTACCCCCCAATGGAGATGACTCTACAGTCATGCCTCCTTTACTCCACAATGGAGATGACTCTACCATCATCTCTCCCCTACTCACCAATGGAGATGACTCTATAGTCATGCCTCCTATACTACCCAATGGAGATACCGTCATCACTGCCCTACCCCCAATGGAGATGACTCTACCATCATCCCTCCCCTACTCCCCAATGGAGATGACTCTACAATCATGCCTTCCCTACCCCCAATGGAGATGGCTCTAGTCATGCCTCCCCTACCCCCAGTGAAGATGACTCTACAGTCAAATAAAAGTCCTTCAATGGGACTTACACTCTACTAGCTGAAAGGATTATCAAGGAATCCATGATAAAACCACTTCTTTCTTTTAACTGCTGAGTGTTGTAAATACTCCTTACAATCTAAATTGACAAAAATTTCAAAATATGTCTACTGTGGCAGTCAAAATGGACATAAGATTGGCACCATTTTCATTTAGGATCAATTAGATAGCTTAAGTCTTTTGGAGAAATCCATGATGATGATAAGACCATTCATTCAGAAAAAGTAGCAATAATATGATTTGCATTCTCACATCAGCATCATTTTCATTCATGACCAATCTGACATCATAAGAGGTTTTTCTGGTGAAAACCCATGTCTATATGATTATCTATCCAGAAGTAGAGATAACAAGTTGCTCATAATGCTGATATGACCATTCATTGTGGAGGAAAAACTGATAGCAAGACTTTCATGATAGTAAATGTGGTGGCAATATTAGATGTACGACTGGCACCATTTTTATTTCAGACCAACTTGACTTCATAAGAAGTCCACTGGTGAATGAGCAATGTCAATAAGACATTACTGGTATATTTTTGGAAGGAAAAGCAATAAAGTTTTTAAAATGGCTGTCATAATGGTTATATGAGAGTTCAATTTGCACCAGTCATTTAGGAACAACTAGATATAAACAAGAATTAGTGAAAACACGAAAAGAGTCATTTGACCGTCATATCAAAATCAGTGAGTACTTCTGTGAGAACCTATTACATGCCGGCTTTGATTTGATCAACAATGTGGGTAAGTTGCATTTTAAAAAAATCAGTTAAAAGAGACCTGTATTGTTTTATCACTTTGAATATGTCTTTTCTATCAAAGTAAGCAGGGGTAGTACAATTAAAGAAAATTCAAAGGCATGCCAATAACAGCATAAGTTGTTGTGGTCATTATCGTTCTCAAATTTCATTTTATTTGATAAATTGTACATCTGTAAAGCAAATGGAAACCATGTAGAATAATGTTTTGATGATCTCCTCAATATACTGCAAGTTATCCTGAAATTAATGTTACTCTATGAGGAATATAAGTAAGCAAAATACACTGCTATTAAGATATATTTATTCACAGTTAATCTTAGAATGATTAACATGCCAACCCAACCCACTCCCCTTTTGCCTCTATGTCGATCCCTTTGTTAGTTTTGTTGTTTGTTATAGGTCCCTCAATAACACGTGACATCGCTTATAATGTGGTCAATGTTTTTGGAACCCATTGTGCATGAGTTATCGAGGGAGTGGTATATTTAGGACCAAGACAGAAGAAATTTCTTGTGAAAACCCCATGTCAAAATGTCTTCCCATTCTGTACAAGTGGCAATAACAAGATATAGCAGACAAGGTGGCCACATCAGAAGTCAGATCAATTCCATTTAGGACAAAGTCTTTTACTTAAAACCTATATTTTCATGGTCATCCATTCAGAAGGTGTACCAATAATAAAAAATTTCTAGATGGCTGCTGTGGAAGGCCTATTCTAGCACCATGTTTACCTTGGACCAACTAGACATCTGGCAAAGAATTCAATGTGACATCATAAGCAGCCCTTCAGTAAGACCCAAAACCAATGTAATCATCCATTCTGGAGTAGTAAAACAAAATCTTCAAGATGGGTGCTGTGGTGGGCAATACTGGATGTCTAAGTAGCAGCATTTTCATTTAGTTCCAACTGGAAGTTCATGGCGATCCAAAAAACAGAAGAAGTCATGATAACAAACTTGTGATTATCAATAAAGAGGTGATGGATCACAGATAACGGACATCAGGCCATCTCATATACTCTTTTGGTCCATGACCAGTAGAGCTAAAACAGGGGAACTATTTGTGCCAATGAGACTGTTATACACTTCTACAAGACAAAAACACCAATAAGTCTTAAGACCAAATGTCTGTCTAAAAGCCTGACACTATTATCTGAAATGAATTCCAGAATTTAAAGAGAAGACAATTTTTTCTTTTTAATTACTGAGTACTGAAAAAACCCATCTAAGTCTGTTATTCTAATGTTATAAGATTTTGACATTAGCCATGGATGAAACCATGTTGGATGTGAGATCGACACCATTTTCATTTAGGACAGGTTTTGTTTTTGTGGGTTTTAACTTTTTATCATATTGTTTTGCTAATCATACCATGGAATTCAGAGCAAAGTGCCTTTCTCAATGACACACCAAGGCAGCTGACCTGGGCTGACACAGGTGGGTATTGAAACTGCAACCCTTAGATTACATGTCCAATGCTCTACCAACTGAGCTAACATTGCTCCCTCATTTAAGGCAAAGGGGACACAGCATTTGGTCAAAACTCCATGATGATATGACCATCCAGTCTGGAAAATTGATGACAAGATCTCTATAACTTGGGCAGCCATATTTTAGGTCAGATTGGGAGCATTTTCATTCAGGACAAGTAATGTATCATAAATTAGTCTTCCCATTCTTATGTAACTGTTTTGAAGGAGTAGCAATAAAAATATTTTCAACATGGCTAGCATGATGGTCATACTGGATATCAGATCGGCACCATTTCCATACCTGACTGCTATAGTAGTCATGAATTCAGGATGGGTAGTGATAACACAATTTTCAAAAATGACTGCGGTAGTGGTAACATTGTATGTCTGAGCAAAACAATCTATGAACACAGAGACACCATAAAATTCTTCTGGTGAAAATCACGTGTTAGCATGACTTTCAGTTTAGGAGAAGCATTAACAAGATTTTTAAAAGTCAGCTGCAGTGGTGGCCATAATGGATGTCAGACTGGCATCATTTTTATTTAGGACCAATTAGATACCATAATAAGTCTTTCAATAAAACCCCATGTTAATATAACTTTCCATTCAGGAGGAAAAGCCAAAGCAAGTTTTTTTTAACATGAAAACTATTGTAGTCATACTAAATTTCCAAGCGAAAACATTTTCATTCAGGACCACTGAGACATAATATGAAGACTTCTGGTGAAAACCCTATCTTGACATGCCTTTCCATTCATCAGGAGCTGCTATAGTGGCCATATTGGTTATAAGATTGGCACCATTTACATTTAGAACCAACTAGATATCATAAAAAGCTATTTAGTGAAGACTCCATGTTGATATGACCATCCATTGAGTGGTGATAACAAAGATTTTCAATCTGTGATGGCCACACTGGATTTCTCAGCAGTAACAGTTTCATCTAGGATAAGCAAGACCTTGGAATGAATGTGTTTGTAAGGTTTCATGGCAATATTCCAAGCAGTTTAGGAATAACTTGAACAACTTGCATAAGCAGATGGATGGATTATGGACCACAGAAAATTCCATGAGCTCCCATAGTCAATGTCCAGTAAAACTAAACACAGTGGGACTAGTACCAATAAGATTGTTTTCTTTAAACTGCTACAAAAAAAGCCATAATACAAATTGTAATGATTTGCTAATTTGTGCAAATTATGGTGATGACAATAAGATTTATAAACTTTTATGATATATGATAGTCCATCACATACTGGAAGACTAGTTTTCATGATGTGTGCAAGATAGATTGACTAGCTGCAGGTTTGGTTGTCATGATGATTGTAAGGATAGACAAGTTGCAGGACTAGTTGTCAGATGATTGCAAGGATAGACAAGTTGCAGGACTAGTTGTCATGATGACTGCATGAAGGATGTACTAGTTGCAGGACTAGTTGTCATGATGAGGGCAAGAAGGATGAACCAGTTGCAGGACTAGTTGTTCAGATGAGTGCAAGATGGATAGACTAACTGCATGACTAGTTGTCACTGATGAGCACAATATAAATTGACTAATTGCAGGACTAGTTTTGATATGTGCAAGATGGATGGATTGACTGCAGGACTAGTTGTCATGATGAGCACAAGATGGATTAACTAATTGCAGGATTAGTTGACGTGATGAGTGCAAGATGGATGGACTAGTTGCAAGACTGGTTGTCATGATGAGTTCAGGATGGATGGACAGATAGAAGCAACGACTGCTATACAATAACAGTATGGAAATTTATATTCTGTTTACAAACCAGGGAAAGGCATCCACCAGCTTTTGAAGGATTTGTTGGAATGTTGTCACCTGAGGAAGGGATAAAATGGAATCTCTCAACCCAGTTAATTCTCTACTCTTTGCAAAGAACAGAACACATACCTGTCAAACAAAAGAAGAAATATCAAGAATAAAGTAGACAATCACATAATACACTGTGCACTCTTCATACACAGCGAAATATGATACTGGTTTAAATTGTGTTCTTGAACAGGATGTCTACAACAGTCATAATATAATTACAAATCTTTAAACATTAATTTGTAGTAGCAATATTGCTCACCTGACTAAAAGTTATAAGAGTATGAGAAGGAATGATAGCATGGTAAATGAACATAGCTTTGACTGTATCTGACACCAGCATTTGTATCTCTGTGTGTGTTGTATTTATGTGTGTGTGATTTAGATTTTTAACATAGTTTTAAAATTATTTTGTCATATCGCTATGATGTCTGCAGTGGACTGCTCTGGTGGCCTAGAGGTTAGGGTGTCACATTGGATGTGGAACATTGCCACCTTGAACCTTGCTGAGTCATACCATAGACTTATAAAAATGGTACTTACAGCTGCCTCTCCAGGCACTCAGCATTAAGAGGTTCATGTTAGGACTGGTCGGTTTGGTGTCAGGATAATGTGACTGGGTGGGTCATGATGCAACATGTCCATTCCATGATGCCCCAGTGCTAGACATGGCTATAACCTACCACAATGTAGACATTGTAGAGATATGACTGAAACGCTGTTAAAGATACAGTAAAAATCTATATCACACACATGCACAGTTCTAACAAAGTATGCAGTGGCTGTCAGATTTCAAATTCAAGACTTTCTTTTAAATTTATATTTTCTGTCATGGAAACATTGCAAGTGCTGATATTACTAGTGCAATTATACACATGAAAATCATGTGTGTGGGCTGATGAATAAACTATTTTGAATGGTATGTTGAGGAGTTTCCATTTGCAATCATATTGGGTTTTTTATTCAATGGGTGGATTGGATGTAGGTTCTTTTTTAATAAAGTCTGAAAATGTAGGTCTGACATAACACATTTCTGGTTGTTGCTGGCTTTGTAGTAGCTCCTAAGCACGTTTTAAGTTTTGTAGCTAGGGATGTGTATCGCCTGTGTGCCCAGCACTCTAAGTAATAGCTCCAGTTTGTGTGTGTTTCTCTCTCAATGTTTTATGTGCTGTGTTTTCAGAGTAGGAAAGAACAAATTGCTTTATGAGTCAACATATTTTGCTGTATGTTGTTGTTATCTGATTTTATAACAGATATATCGGCACAACAAATGACAAGAGTTTTTCTTTTCAAAAGTAGTTCCTAGTGTGTGGACACCATGACCAAGACAAGCGAACAAAGACAACCAGACTAAAATAAGAAGGTTAGCAAATCAGGTAATAAGCTACTCCATTTCTAGTCAAGACTGCATAACCAAGGACAAGGCAGTGTCATGTTTGATGTGGTAAATATCCATTACATGATATTTGCAACCAGAATTATATCCCTTTGCTCAACACTTTGCTTTACTCGCATCTCACTAGAAAGTTTCATATTTTCACACCTCCCAACTTTTTAAGGTCTAAGACATGAGCATAATTATAAGCCTATCATTTATAAATTCACACAGAAGCTAAATATGTAATATGGTTTAGATTTACTTTGAGTTAGGTTAGAAAATGGATTGGCTTTTTTGGTGATTGCCCATCACAGTAAGACTAGCACTGGACACAGTAAGACTAGCACTGGAGATCAAATGTGTAACTTGGGCTGCAAATGAACAGACAACATGGCTTATGTATTTTCGCATGTCTGCTACAGAAATATCTAAAACTAGAGATGGTTGAGGGGTGATGAAAAGTATGCTAATTTGTTATAGTACCAGTGAACTTTATGCATACAGCACATACTGATTTTTTCAGCTGCCTTGCCACAGGAAAATATTCAAAATAGCTATTTCCTGTCTTGAATGCAAAAAAGGTGGGTTGGTGGCAGTGTAGGTTTAGTATAAAAGCCACCTGTTGTATAAGGAATTAACCTGATTGATGTAGTTAAAATCTATCATACATGCTTCTATAAAAATCATTAGTTTGTTTATATTTGTATCGTCAGTGCAAAATATTTTCATTTTTCTGCAATATGTCATTGTCAGATGAAAATGTATCAGATAAACTATCCAGTGAGACCTCAGGACCAAGTTTAAAACAAAACAAAAAAAAAGTTTTATTTTACTTTCAGCAATTAATTTATAATTAAATACACTGAAATGAAACTTAATAATTTTGTTGGCCAAGACTATTCATAAGGCCACCATGCACCTTAACTGCAAAAGAGTATTCACATGACCTCCATGTACCTCTTCTGGAATGACTGTTTGCACAGCAGCAGGGTAGGTATGTAATTGACAAAATTCCATTTGAATGGCTGCTACAGATCTGATCTGCAACACATACTCATTTTTGCAACTGTATCAATATTTACAAGTCACTGTTAGTTAAAACTAGTACTGTGCTATACTCCTCCAGCTGCAGCAGAAACAGAAATTTTCAAATAAATATTGAGTGAATCTCACTGGTAAAAAAAAATACCCTTATTGTAACCCAGTTGATAAACCTGTTCAATTATTCACTCATAACATACATATTTTCTTTCATTTTAAGCCCAGACAAGTCAGTGTAGTTAGAGTTTGAAAAGAGAAGATTTATTGGATATTTCAGCTGTTTACCATTTTTGTTCTGCATATTGTGTACATTCATGCATTAAATCTGAGTAACATAATTATTTTTGAATTAAATGTAACAAAGCCTACTCTTAAAATGTAGATACTGAAAAAATTAACAAATTTTTTTATTGCTTCTCTACCCACCATGAGATTGTGTTGCCAACCTATATATGCACATGGTTTATTTCTATCCCCATGAATATGATATTCATCCATTTCCTTACTAAACCTGAACACTATGTGTCAGAGCAAGATATGACATTCTTGGTAGACTGGAGAAATTACCCATGAAAACCCAGGTAAGAACAAGTGACCTACAGGAAGCTACTGGTAAGTATTTTCACATACCCACAATGGCTGAACCCAAGACTTGAACCCACATGAATAGAGGGTAGTGATCAGTAAAGGCATTTATTTTAGACCACTTGGTCACCATGGGCCCACGGCTATGGATAAACTAAAGCATATGCATGGTGATGGTTAATCATTTAATACGCTGCTG